ATCATTTGACATGACAGATAATTTTCATTGCCCAACATGGAACACTTTGAAAGGGGTCTTTTTCACGCCTCTGGAGCAAGATTTGCCTGTTTGTTCTCTCTCTAAGGCAGCAGACTCAATGGAGTTCCAGTAGGTGAAATGGGCCTCCCAGATACTACTGTGATAAAATAAATAATATTCACTTTTAGAAAGTGGGAAGCCCCAGTTGAAATGTAGGCATCTGGTAGTTGAACCACCAAGAATGACTACTTGCGTTTGAAAACAGGCTCCTTTTAATCCTTTGTTTTTAATTTAAAAAATGAGGATGAATGCACTTGAAATTGATAATCAGCCCTCACAAGTGACTGTTTGCTTCTCTCAGTGGATCGCTTGGGGCAGCCAAGCATATATACAATGCTGGTGTGTGCTTGGGCACTGGGTCTCTGCTGGGGGAATCTGTGCCATAAATTCAAGAGCCCAATTTGTTTTTCAAGGCTTATAGAATGGCTGTAAATATAAGGGAGAGAAAGGCAGCAGAAACCTGTACTTATGGCATTATTTGTCGCAGCAGGGAAGGAGTGCCTCCAGGCTGGTTGTTCTTGCACCTGGTAACCTAGCCGTGGGAGGCTTTCACTTGAAACCAACTGAATATTGGTCTGATCGCTCATATATAAGAAGCAGCTTTAATTAAAGTGTGGGAGTAACAAATAAAGAGATCTTCCATGAAGCTGCAGCATGCATGCCCTTCTCAGTCAGACCTCTCTATTTTTAGTGCTCACAAAGATTAGCTTTATGGGCTTAAGCATCCCTTTTCTAGATTTTTTTAGATATTCAAGAAGAAAGAAACATGCTCTTGATCCTGAGACCAACACTGCCTCTGGCTCCTGTAAGCCCAGATCTGTGCATACAGACAAGTCTGATGTGTAACTGAATGTCACTTTGGCTAATAGAATTGCTCTCATTAAGCATTATTGCATAGACCATGTTTTAGAGAGCAAGATGGAAAGTCTTCTGATTATTCGCATTAAGTCTTGGGTCTCAGTTCCACTCCCACCCTGTTTTGTTTTTTGCTGGTGACAATAGTGAGATGTCAAGAGAGGAAAGCTGATAAATCAAGAGATCAGTTTAACTCAAACAGCGTTAAAAACTGCCTTTGTGAAAAGTTCAGAGTCTTTGTCTATTTACCTGCAGGCTGAGAGAGGTACTGATTTCTGGCAAAAATAGGGAAGAGATTCATACTCTTAAACTGTCAAGCTTGAAGAGGCAAATTTAAAAATACAAAAAAACCAGAAACACAACTTCCCTTGTTTGTCTTTCCTTTTCTTTGTCTCTATGCAAGGTATTTAACAGCATTTTCAGGTTCATTGGAATCTGACAGACTGTGCTGTGAGCCCTTCTGCTATGGCCTCAAACTTGCACCCTTGGGGCTGTGAACTATGTGCTTTAGTGCCCACACCATCCCAGCCCCCCTTGTTTGCCTTAAAAATATGAAACAAAATTTTGTCACAGTTGTTTTCTATTTGGTGGGTAAGCCATATCACCATTTCCCTAATACAGATAGCTCTTTGTGGGTTTACATGCTGCTTTTAGTAGCAGCCAGGATTTTGTAGCAGGCATGTATGCAGCAGATCAGCAGAGTGCTGACAAGCACTGGGGTTCAGGAGATCCAGAGTTTTAATTCTGTCTCCTGATTCTGACTCTAGCCTGTCTGTGCCTTAGTTTCCCCATATGAAAAAGGAGGATAATGACAGTGACCTCCAGGAAATATCATTAGATAAGAGTTGGCATTGTTGTAAATATACATATTCATGTGTGAACAATACTAGTGACAAAAATGAATTTCAAAATATTCTGATGAAAAATGAGAGGACATAGAAGCAAAAGTTAAATTAAAAAGGAAAAAAAATGCTAAAAGAACACTTAATACAGAACAGTGTCCAATTTACCAGAGAAAAAGTCGCAGCACTAGAACTGGGTTGAAAATGATGCTGTAGGCAATAGTTGGCTCTTGCTAGAATATGGCCTGAATTGACAGGGATAGTCAAGTGAGTGAACTTCAGTCTACCATCAGGTGAGAGAGTCTTTGCCCCATATAGCCACATTCATAACTGACCTCAAAGGTCTACTTCAACCTGGATGACCTATTCAGCCTGTGGGGTCAATACACAGAAGGGAGCTGCATCTAACATCCTGGTCAGAATAACCAGGTGCCCATTTACAGTTGAATGGAGTGGAAGGAGGGGAAAATTCAAGCTCATGCCTCTTACATTCAAGTGAGATGCCTTCAATGCTCTGCCCTCACAACCCTTCTGACAGTGGCACAAAGCACTGTGTAGACCAGGCCAAAAGACGAACTTCACTATTGTCTCTGTAGTTCTTCCTTCGTTCTTGATTGAAAACAGAAGCTGCATCTGCTCAATGCTGTTTTGGTCCTCACCTGAAGTTGTCAGCTGATCTGTAGTATTTTGGTTGGTTTCTCTGGTAAAATTATAGCTTCAAAGAGATGATGATCTCGTCTTCCTTTCCCACTTTAATCCTGCCCTCCCTGCCCCAAAAGAATGAAGAAGGGCTTTCCACCCCTTTATTTTTACAGAACAATCAAGCTCATAAAGCTCAACCCAGGAAGAGGAGTTGGAAAGAGGTTACATTTAGCAGAAAACCTCATGTTAGACCTCAGCTGTTTCAGTCGCAGAGGTGGAAAGGGGTCCCTACAACTAGCAGCATTCCCGAAATAGACCCTGCTGCTCCCCCCACCCCCGTGGCGCACAGCTGTTCTGCAGGGGCCTCAGCACAGCCCACGTGCACACATCACACATAGTCTGCATACACATAAACACTATTCAAACTTGGCAGAGGCAAACACTGCTTTTTTCTCCTCCCCACACACTTAAGCTAGTTAGTTCCTGTAGTAGAGGGTTATATTTGCCAGGGCTATCCTCCCTCACAAAGATTTTCTGACACAGAGGAAGAGGCAGCAGAAAGCAGTCTTAATCCTGACTGACTGAGGGGTCTTTTCACCAGTGGGGACCAGTCTGTGGTAAAATACTGAGGGAAGCAGAGATGCAGTTTTCCTTCCAGTGAAGCAAGAATATGACTTGTACGTTCCAGGCAAAGGGGCATGAGGGCACAAGCAGTGTTGCTCAGCTTGGGTTTTTTTTGTTTTTTAGGAGTCCTACTTACAAGGCTCTCTCCAGCCAATGCCAGCCCCCAGTGTTAGGCTGGGCAGAGTGAGTTTCAAAGATGTCAGTCATCTTCCCCATCTCTCATAAGTAACCCTTTATTTTCTCCCACAGCATCCTTTTACTGCAGGGGTGCTCAACCACCAGCCCACAGGCCAGATCCAGTCCCTGGATCCATGTCATCTGGCCCGCAAGGTTCCCCACAGGTCCAAAAATTTGGTGGCAGGGGACTGGTAGCATTGTCATTCCTGTGCTGCCAAATTTTGGACCTATGAGGAACCCTGTGGGCTGGAGAGTATGGCCCTGCCTGCTAGGTTGGTTGTGCAGGGCCCAATCCCAGTGCATGGGGTTGGCCATGGGCAGTGCAGGGCCAAATCCAAGAACACGAGGCTAGGAGGGGTTGGTGCAGGGCACCAGGATCCAATCCTGGTGTGGGACCAGGAAGCAGCAGTGTGAGGTGCCACGGTCTGATCCTAGTGCATGGATCTGGGAAGAGGTGATGTGGGGCTCCGCCTGGGTGTGCATGGCTGGGCAGAGGCAGCACAGTGAATTGGCCTCTCACCACTTATCTGACCCATGGGGCAGAAGTTGAGCACCACTGTTTTACTTTCTTTAAAGTAAAACAATACTATGTCCTGCCAGACATGCAAAGATGAAACAGTTTAATCTAGAACCAATCTACACTGCACAGTCTCCCTTCTTGAGAGCACAGAGGCAGAACGGGATCTTGGAGTCAGTGATGACTCCAAGATGAACATGGGCCGACAATGCGAAGTCACGGTTGGCAGGGCTAACCGGACCTTATCATGCATCCACAGGTGCATCTCAAGTAGGTCCAAGGAGGTGATCCTCCCCCTCTACGTGACGCTGGTCAGGCCACAGCTGGAGTACTGTGTCCAGTTCTGGGCACCCCACTTCAAGAGGGATGTGGACAACATTGAGAGGGTCCAGAGGAGGGCCACCCGCATGATCTGGGGACAGCAGGGCAGACCCTACAATGAGAGGCTACAGGACCTGAACCTGTTCAGCCTTCACAAGAGAAGGCTGAGGGGGGACCTGGTGACCGTCTATAAACTCACTAGGGGAGACCAGAAGGGTTTGGGGGAGACCTTGTTTCCCCCAGCGCCCCCCGGGATAACAAGGAATAATGACATATGTAAGAACTACTTCACGGTCAGGGCAGCTAGGATCTGGAACCAACTTCCAAGGGAAGTGGTGCTGGCTCTTACCCTGGGGGTCTTTCAGAAGAGGCTTGATACCTACCTGGCTGGGGTCATTTGAGCCCATTTTTCTTCCTGCCCAGGCAGGGGGGGTCAGACTTGAAGATCTACAAGGTCCCTTCTGACCCTACTTCTATGATTCTATGATTAAATTGTTACCAGAAAGAAACTGTAAGGTCCCTGCTCTGTTAAGCTTTCCTCATATGTTTGTTTAGGTGCTGCTTACCAAACATTTCTCCAGTGTAAGCAAATGGGTAGACAGAAGATGGAAACACAAGCTCATCATTTGCCAGCTGAATTAGTCCTCCGAGCAAGGGGTGAAGTACATTATTCCTTCTTTAGAGGAAGAGGGGAGTAACTGCAAGTCAGATTTGTTCTCTGGGCTGCTCCTGAGGCAGTGCAACTACACACTGCTCCTTTAGTCAGGGCAAGCTGTTTCTGTTATTACAAAGTCCTGAGTTACCAGGGAAAACATCTCTCCCAGGCGCTCTCAAACTTTTAATTTTTTAAAATTCTTCCTCCTTACAAACTCTTCTCTGCTAATCTTAGGAGACATCAGCTAGTCACATAAGAACCTGGATTGTCAAGGGAGTAAGAATGGACACAGGTCTACAAGTGTTTCTTGCTAAGATATATATTATGTACTTTCATTAAAACACATTTTCTGATCTGAGAACTTTAAGATATTTAAAGAATTATTTTCACTTGGATAAAAAAATGATAAAATGTCAATCTTAAATTTTACTATGTCATGCATGTATTTTATAGCATACATGCACTTTTTCACAAAAACGGGGGCCGTGATAGCATCACTTAGCTTTCAAGCTAAGTCTGAAAAAAATAAAACACAGCATCTGAACATTTCCCCTAAGAAATGCATCTTGATTAGTATTCTTCCAAGGTCAGTTCCAGCCCATTGTAATCCTGACTTTGTTACACATTACATAAACACACAGCAGCAGGGGACAAATGAAATTACACACCGGGAGGGGGGCAGGCGGGCAGGCAGGAGCTGAAAAATTAAACTGCTACAGAAAGGCTCTTTCTGTGGAGAGGAGAATCTTCCCTTAACCAGAGCTGGAGGCTCACTGGCACCACTACTCTGTTTATCTCGTCTTGTTGAACTGGTACCTGCAGAGGCCAAACTGCACACTAGCACCAAGTTAGCAGTGGATGGAAATCCACATCTCATCTACATGCACCTTTCCACTGTCTACCTGCTCTTGGAAAACTTAAACGGTCCAGATTCACTGTAATTACTGGACCTGAAACTGGAATGAATTCAGCCCAGTAACTTTACCCATCATATAAACAAAGTCCTGTTCATAACATTTTCCAAAAATATATTTCATTATGAACTTTAGAATAAAAGGTCAATAAAAATAGAGCGAACAGGAGTTCTGATATTCATGACGAATCAGCTAATTACAGTGCTCATGTTAACAACTATCTTTAGCTCAATTTTCAAGCATGTCTTGCACTATCTTACAATCTGGAATACTTAGAAGTTATTTGGCTAGAACTTCCATCCACTTGGTGCCAAATACTTTGTTGCCCAATCTCCACCAGCACCGTTTAAACAGTCACTAATAGGCATGAGATCCACCCCTTTCTCTCCCACTCTTAACTGTCTTAAAAAAATCATTTCTCCAATTCATCTGGAATCAGCTTTTTCTTTTTCTTCCTCTTGGCTTGTTGTTTTGATACAGTGCTCAAAGCAGATTCTGAACTGTTCACTGGTGACCGAGGGAGGAGTAGCTTTCCAGACTGCGTTGGATATTTGGTCTTCATAAGGATTTTAAACAGTGGTTGAGATAGCAGATGTTTCAGATGTTTTTTCATTCCTTTCAGCATCTTCTGCTTCTTACTCTCTTCTTGTTCACTAGATCTTCCCCCTTCAGACAGAAACCAAGGATTTACAAAATACATCACAAAACCTTCCAACCCTAATTTTCTACAATTTTATGAGAGCTTTTATTGCAACAGTTAAAGTAATCTACTATACCTTTAGATACCACAGTCATAAAATACCCCGATTATATCTACCCTTTTGAGCAATCCCCACTCACAGGACACTTTCCAAAGATGCATGGTTCTGGATGGTCAAGTCTCCTTTCAATTTTGGGTGCCATCAATAAAATAAAACCGAAGACATTCCTGATTGCTGAACGGTTTTTCACTGGCTTCTCAACAACAGGACAAAATCAGGGTGGCTCAGTGGGTAACCGTAACAAGCGGCCATCCCAGGGCCGGTTGAGTAGCTGGCCCGCATGCTTGTCTCGGGGCTAACCACCCGCCTACCTTGCCTGTCACACCTTTGATGATACTAACTGGAAGATGTTAATCAGGCAGGAGGCTGCCCATTTACTCACCCTGGTGCCAAGGGCCTATATACATGGGTCTGAACCTCCCCTTATACGGTGTCCCATGCCTTGCATATGGCATCCATGGCCTAACACCCAGCCTATAATCCAGTGTCCTTACACTGGGACTCGCACTCCAGTGCCTCACGTTGGGACTCGCACTCCCATGCCCTCACACTGGGCTCTCAATCTCACTCACTTGGGGCTCCCAGCCCTACCCTTTTCTTTGGGCTCCCTACCCGGCTTGGGACCTCGTGGTCCCCTCATGCCCCCACACTGGGGCCTCAATCCCACCCCACTGGAGCCTCACACCTGGCTCCCTTTATATGCCTCATGCCTCACTGTGCACCTGGATTGTCTCTGGCCCCTTCACCTGACCAGGACCCTGCCTCAGGCTCCACACAGTAACCTGGGCCCTTGCTTTGTCTTCGGGGTGTGCTCCTGTAGCCGCTTGCCTCCACAGGGTAACCCACAAGGCAGTGGGGGCTGAGGCTTTCTGCTGTCCCATACTCACCCTTCACCGGGAAGGCACAGGTGTGGAATTTCCTAGAGAGTGCCCCGCCACAGGCATCCCCACCACACCATGCAACTCCAGCAGGGTATAGTTTTAGGTCATGCCCCAGGACCAGGAACCTCCAGCCATCCCCACAGTTCCTGCCCTGAACCTCCAAGATGTTAGGTGAGCAGCAGTTCCAGCCAGGTGATGTTCTCCCCTTGGCTGCTAGCTCAGGGCTTGCTTTTATCCTAAACAGCTGGGCCCTGTTCCCAAATCAGGCAGTTGTGCCTGATTGGGAGCTTAGCCACCTGCTGCTTGCCAACGCCCCTGTGAGTAACAGAGCACAACTTGTGCTCTGTTACTGTAAGGTACCTGCCTTGGACTTGGGAGCCCTGAGTTCAATTGCCTCCTCAGCCACAGGCTTCCTATACAACCTTGGGCAAATCTCATAGCCTTCATGGGCTTTGCTTCGCATTCCACAAGTCCTTTCCTATCTCCCAGGGGCATTGTGATGACAAATACATAGAGAACAGTGAGCTGCATTAATATTATGGTCATGAAGGCCATATAAAACCTTTCATGGACAGACCCAAACCAATAAGAGACCTGAACTAGAAAGAAATAATGATACCATTTACCTGAGCAGAATGTCCATTAAACTGGGACATCAAAGCTACAGAGAATCAGGGTGGCTCAGTGGGTAAGTATGTTTTAATCATTTTAAAGGTGATTGAGATTTTAAGTTTTCTGCAGCAAGTTGTGGAAGAAATAAAGAACCCTCTAACTTTAAAACTTTTAGCTACCAAGGTACAGGACAATTATTACAAGTACTCCATGAGAGTCCTGCATTAGATTTCAAAACAGCATGTCTGCTTTATTTTTTCAGCATTTTTTTGCTGTGTTTTGGCATAATCCAAGTGCTAATTATCTATCTGGGTAGGGTAAAGAGCTGATTAGTGTTTGCTCACAAGATAGTCTGGAAGTAATCAGTCATGTCTGTACATCTTCCAAAGATGTCTATACCTTCATTTTAAGTGAATCCAAACAAACTACAAAACTAAGGAAGCTACATATACAACAGCACTCTTGCAGTTCAGGCACAAGGTACTCCGCCAACAGTCCTCCGAAATTGCCTCAGACTGACTTGGGGATAAAAGCCCATCAAATCAATCCATACTGATGGAACACCACACAGCTTTTCAAAATTATATCCAAAAATAGGTACACATACTCTTAAAACTTTCAGATGATGGCATGTAGCAAAAACAAATTAAAGTAACAAGATCCCCAAATTCTCTCTTGTAGAGTATGGAACACAGCATTTTAAATTGAAAACTTTAAAATTATGAATCTTTAAGTAAGCTATCGTTATTTTCCAAGCAATTATATAAAGTTCTTCCCTCCCCTTGAAAGGAAAAAAAACCCAAACAACCCCCCCCCCCCCCCCTCCCAAGAACTAGTACTGCATAGCACTAACAGGAAAATGCCTTTTTTTCTGCAAAAACCCCTCAACTTTTCATCAAAAACCTGAAAATAAGCTGAACTTTTCTGCAGAAAGCAGACGTAATTGAGGAATAGTTCTTTCAGCAAAATCCCAGTATTCTGACAAAATAATAGCTCTGAAAGCAGACAAGGTTCCTTGGGTGAATTTGATATCTTTTATTAGACCAACCCAAATGGTTGGAGAATAGTTATTAAGCAAGCTTTCGGGTTCAAAAACCCTTCGTCAGGCTAATGAAGCTTCAGCAGTTGGTTCTGAAAGCTGGATTTCAGCCATCCCTAGCTACAGAAGACATCTTTAGCTGTTTGAATCTAGCTGTTTGGCCATTTGTCCAGTTCACTTAGCCCATGAAGCATGCATGCACCTTGTTTTGTCTTTTCTATGATGCAGAGGGGGAATGGGTTTGTCTCCACACAAGGAAAGCAGCAAAGATATTCTCCATGCTTCTGCTGTCACCAAAGAGGCAAAGCTCACTTGAGAAACGCCAGGAAAATGTGTCAGTTTGAGCCGAATGTCAGAAGCCCATGAAATCTTAGCCCAGGCCCTGCTACTTTTTTTTTTTTTTGTCAAAAGCGTTGCCTCTCTCTACCTTAGCTTCTGCAACTGTGAACCACTGTATTAGCCCTGTTTGCCTCCTTTACAGAAGAGTTTTTATTGCTCTGACAAAGTATAGAGCAATATACAGTACTAACTAGCATCAAACTAACTAGCATCTTCCTTTTATACCACGCCAGCCTCTCAGATGGCGAGAAGTGTTCTAGACATGGATGGGCAGTTGCATGGTCCAGCCAAGCATGCTTACAATCATCTCTACTTGCCTACAAGGACATCATCATCGAGATCGATTTCGAGAGCCTCTGCAGCTTGTTGGAACCAGGAGTTATGCTGCTTTGCTCTACTGTTGTAATACTCCATCTTCTCGATCTGCCTTGCTAAATTCACACGCTCCTGCAACAAAACCATGGGCACAATTCAAACATTGGCCACATCTGTCAAGCAAATATGAATGCAGAATATATTTGCTGAAGCAGCTTTTAACTCGTCACCAGAGCATTCTGCTAGCCTTGCAAAGCCAAACACAAGCAAGCAGAGAAATACATCAAGACAGATGCAACTGAAGTGATTTCCTGTGAGAGAAACATGAAACCTTAATTAAAAACAAAACCAAACAAAAAATACCACCCCCCAACTACAAGTATTAAAAATAAAAAGACCCACATGAACTCTAACTTCTAGCCCACTGGTTTTCAATCTTTTCTCATTTGCAGACCACTAAAAAATTTTAAATGGAGGTGTGGACCCTTCTGAATTGTAAGTGTGTGTATTCACATACTTTTGATTGATCATAGTAATCTTTTGCGGACCCCCTTCGACATAACCTGTGGACCCGCAGGGGCTTTGGACCACAGGTTGAAAACCACTGTCCTAGCTCACCATAACAAGCTGTGGGGGGCATGTATAAGCGGATGATTTAGAAATGTTAGGAATAAATCAAACCTGCAAGGACCATGAATTTCCAAGCTAGGTATTACACAGTATAGCCACCAAAGAAAACTCATTCAGCAGACAGAAAAATTAGAAAGGGTAGTAAACAACAGAACAAGACTCTCTTTCCCAGCTTGGTCTACTGTGATGATTGCACAAAGCAGGAGGTACGCTAGGTGCCCTGACTGAGCTGCTTCAATCGGACTGGATAGCGTGGTGTTACATTATTATGGCATCAGGTAGCACAGCTGGCCATTAGAAGTCAAAGGCAGGCAAAATTAAATTTGAAGTCATTAATATCCTGCAATCAATCATGTGTCCTCAAGCTCATTATGGAGGCTTTAAGTAGTTTTATCATCTCCATGTAACTCCTGGAATCCCCTACTTGTCTCCCCTCCCCTTTAACTGGCATCCTATCATCTCTTCCTCCAGGGTCTGGGATTAGGGATTCCCTAAAAAATTCATATACTTTGAGTGAAGCCATCCAGTGCCAGACAAGGTATACAGCAAGGTGACAGGCACCAAGAGCCAGCACTGCTAGACCCGGATTGATGGATTCTGGGCATGTATACACGACACATTTGCACCGGTGCGATCTGCTATTATACCAGGACAGAAGTTGAGTAGATAAATGGTGTGCAGACTTATGGCAGTGTAAGTCACTCTACTCTGAAGTGCAAAACCCAAAAAACCTGGTGTAACTACACACTGAAGTATGTCTTCACAGCTCTATCTACCCCCACTACCCTCAAGGCGAGACAATGCAATAGTAGCCAGTAGTCTGACTCTTTGTCTGCTCCAGATCCCAATGTAATGTACATTGCTGTACAAAAATGGAGCAAATTATACCAGTGTAAACATGGCTCGTCTCTGCATACTTTATCTTTAAAACCCGTATTAAAGCATAAGAACTAAAAGGTACATGTCTAAAACCTGAGATTATGGAAGATTCTCAAGCTTCATTAGTTAAGGGAGGGGCGGGGAGCGGAAGGGAAGGAAAAGGGAATCAATTCAAATCCCTTATGGTTGCAAAGAAAAGTGAAATAATTCACTTTGCTGTGATATGATTCTATCATGGCTGTGACATAGCCAGCACAATGCCTCTTGTACTAGCCCCAGCTGTGGGGAGCCTGGATGCTGCATGACCTCTAGCAGACTGACCCACAGTGCTCTAAAACAGCTAACGCTATGTTCTGCCCCCAACACACAGTGGAACTTTGTACGGGCTGTTCATCTACCTGTCCTTCAGTTAGGCCAGTTTTATGAATGAAGAAATGATCCTTACTCTCATCTTTGTAATGTATTTTTAAAAAACATCATGTAAAACTCTAGCTAACTGGAAAAAGGCTACTTCTACTATTATTATTACTGACGAGTTTCCTGCATGGTGAACGCCTCTTAGCCTAGCTAGTGAGGATATCGAAGCAGATGATATTTTATAAATTTCATTTAATGTAGCCTAATTCACAACATAGGAGAGCAGGGCTGGAAAGGACATCACAAGGTCATTTAGTTCAGCCACCTGCACAAGGCAAGATAATCCCCGACTAAACCATCCCAACCAAGTGTCTGCCTAACCTGCTTTTGAAAATTTACAAGGGTGGAGATTCCACAGTTTCTCTAGGTGGTTGGTTCCACCTTCAGTCAGGAAGTTCCTCCTAAATTCCAACCTAAATTTTCCTGTGCTACAGCCTGAGGCTATTTGCTCATACTCTTACCCCTATGGCCACAGAGAAAAACCCATCTCCATTCTCTCTGTAATCACCCATTCAGGGATTTGAAGACTGTTACCAAATTCCTTCTCGATTTTCCCTTCTCCAGACGAAAGAACCCTGGTTCTTTCAGTCTTTCCTTATGGAAGTCATGCCTCCCACGCCCCTCATCATTTTTGTTGCTCTACACTGGACTCTTTCTAAAGTGTCCACATACTTCTTTTAGTGTGGGGCCAAAACTGGACACAGCACTCCAGATGGACCTCACCAGTGCCTATTAAAGCAGTAGAATTACTTCCCTTGATTTGCAAGTGGCACTTCTGTTAACACAACCCAGTATCCTGCTCGCTTTTTTCTTACAACAAGAGCATTGTTTGCTCATATTCAGCCTATGGTCCACTGTAACCCCTAGGTCCTTCTCTGCAGTACTGCAGCCTAGCCTGTCATTCCTCAGTCTGTATTTCTGAAATCTTAACATGTGAAGGGTATTGGATTAATTAAAATACAGAAGCAAAACTTTTGTATTGCAAGATGTTATTTACTTACTTTGACAGCAGTTATGTATTTTGTTTCAACAGGGAAAAATGCAAGATCGTCGTTCTTTTCCAACGTCTTATAGATCTTTCTAAAATTAATCATGTCATCAGGGCTAATCAGCAGCAAGCTCAGGCCACCGTTGGCAGCTCGGGCTGTTCTGCCGCTTCTGTGCACGTAAATCTCAGAAGTCCGTGGAACCTGCAAAAACTGCAGTTAATTACTTCCACAAAAAAAAAAAATCACAATGGTTTGTATCTGAAAAGTCAGGATACATCTGTCATTTCTTGGCCCAAGCCCTGCAAAGGTAGGTAGTGGATCTTCTGATAAACTGCTTTTATCACATCAAGCTCTGCTCATAACAAACAGGAGGGGACAAGGTGGGAATCTGGAGACATGTCCTACTCTGCCTGCATCAGCATGATCTCTGGGATGTCACTACCCCTTACCACATCTCAGTTTCCCTAACTATAAGGCAGTGAAATGCAGCCTCAGATGTGCTGTGAGGCAGTCACCTGAATCCTTTGGAGAAGGACTCTAACACTTGAGTTAGGAACAAAGATAGAAAAATGAAGAGTCATAGCCACGGTAACTTCTCATTTACATTGTATTCTAAATAACACATCCTCTCTTCTAGTGATGGACACTTGATGCTTAATGCCTGTACTCTTACTTGGGACAGAGAATTACAGCTTTCTATTGTATTCAGGCTAAGGACCTTCTTTCAACAACAACAGCAACAAGAGACAAATGACAGTAAAAGCATCAGAAGAATTATTTTTGACCTGGTAATGGAGGACATGCTGTACGTTAGGAATATCAAGGCCACGAGCTGCAACATCTGTTGTCAAGAGGATGCAGCTGAAAAAGAAAAGGCAGAATATATTCTGTTCATTAACCTACCACTGAAATACAGAGCAGATGCCTGAGAACATGCAACATGAGTGACCCAGAACAATGCCAAAGTAGTTAAAACTGTTGGCTATATATGCTATGAATATGCCACCTATTGGGAAGTCTAGAAATTGACACCTAAAAATGTGATCTAAGGCAGTGTTGCAAGTGTGCAGTATTAGGTAAAAAGAAATAATACAATTGTTATTGACTGTGGACCTAATTCCAATGAAGCCAATGGTACAATTTCCTTAACTGCAAACCCAGCAAAGTCCTGCCTACCTATTCTTTTACTCACTCCCAACTTCACAGGAAAGAGAATGAGAAGGCCTAACAGATCACCTGCACTGTCAGAAAGGTGACTTATGTCCCAGTGCTTCGTCTAGTCAGAATTTGAATGTCTCCAGAATTTAAAATGATCTTAGAATTAATAGAGTCATAACGAGGTATCCTGAGTGATTATTGCAGCTTTGTCGGTCATGAATACTGCAATGCAGGGTGTAATGATACTGCTTTACTGAATCCCAGCTGAAGAAATTGCAACTGGACAATTCTGAGCTATAAGAAAGAAAAAAAAAATACCATTTTTTTGTTTTGATCACTAAGTTATTTCCATTCAAAAGTTACAGAGAGAAGAGCACTCAAGGAAGGTCATTTTTGGACATAAATAATCTATAACAATGACAGGGGCCTCTGCAAGGTTTGGTAGGATTCTTTTCTTTACTGCAGCCAACTGGGGTAAAAAATATTGAATAAAGAGGCCAAAACCTTACTTGCAAGCAGGCAAGATTTTAACACAAGCTCCCTTTTATGACACTCATTGCACAATCTATGGCAGTGGTTCTCAACCTTTTTAGACTTCAAGAACCCCTATATAAGACTCAGGGCACCCCATGGAAGAAAGCCATCTCTTAGTTTTCACTCATTTTTACTAAAGAAATATTATAATAGAGCAGCTTTTTTGTAGCAAAAATCTCAGAAAGACCTCAGCTATCGATTTCTATTTGAAATCTCTGGGTTTATCTTAGGAATCATGTTTGTAAACTTAACAATGCTAACACTGTGTGGCACCCCATGGCATTCTTGAAAAGATCTCAAGGCACCTTGTTTGAAAACCACCGATTTATGGGTATAGAGTTCAATAGACATTTAGTTGGACAAAGCTCAGCGGTATGCATTATACATGACATTGGACTAACTCAGGGGTTGGCAACCTATGGCCCCAGGGCTGGATCCAGCCCATGAATAAACTGGATCCAACCTGCAGCAGCTCAGGAAATTGTCAGCATCCTCCAGCATCAGAGGAGAGGTCCCCAGGGTCCTACTGGTTGCTGTGTTCAGTTTTTTTTCCTCTGCTGCAGAAGGGGAAGCACCTCTAGGATCCTAGTATCTGCTGATTGCTGGGGGCTGCAGCTGGCAGCGGGGGCTGGGTCACAAGCAGTGGCCCACAGTGGCAAAAGGGTGCCAGCCACTGAATTAACTGGCCTCTAAATGTAATGAGCTTTCCTGTTAGTGATGTTGTGGGCAAGGCTGCTCATGAGACATTCTGCAGAAGGGGCGCTGAGACTGTATAATGAAAAGCGCAGAGGAAAGGATTCGACTCCAGTGCTGGTGGAAAGTACTCAGGATAGAGCCCTGAGGTAGAAGCCAGAGCAATGGCCATGTGAGCTTCCCCACAACTTCTGCATCCACACTGACCTGGTGTCTTCATGGGACACACAGTCTTTGGCTTTTCTCTCCACATCAACCAATCAGTGTGCCAGTCCCTGCAACCTGGAAGTCAACAGCTGTTTTCCACAGAATCACCTGAACCCTTCATCACCACCCTACCAACTGTATGCCTTACTTAATGGTTTTTCCTTTTAATTTTCACCCAGTTTTGCTTATCATTAGGCACCAGATCAGTCAACTTACCTCTCTTGCTCAGCAAACCTTTCCAGGTTTTTTAACCTCTGTTTCTGGTGCATGTTTGCATGCAATGGCAGAGGATTACAGTCTAGGATTGTGAGGAGAGCACTGAGACGTTTTATGCAGTCAATGCTGTTTGCAAAAACCATGGTCCTTCCTGGGTACTGAAGTAGGAAGTAATAGAGATAATAGTCCTTCTCTTCTTTGTCACAGTGGATCCTGGTTTCTGTCAGTGTCTCTACAGTGGCCTCTTTCCTTGTTAGGTCGATTATTTTGGGCTTGCCCTTTATCCCTACTTTCTCTATTAGCATTTCCAGTTTGGTCTTTCGGTCTACTTTCTTAGCATTTTTCTTCTGCAAAACTCTTGTGGGAGCCTGATGGACCAAAGTTAGCGTAGCAGAAAACACAAAAGTCTGACGCTGAGGATTATAGTACGAATCATTTAACATTTCTAGCAACTGAGACAGTTCCAAAAAATGTCCCCTTTCAACCATTCGATCTGCTTCATCGATCACAAGACACCTGTCACATAGAAGGCAGACAGTGTATAAGTAAAGCAGGTCCTTTAGATTAGCGATCACCTTTTTTGGCCGGTGGGCCACAGGGGCAGTGCCTGATCCCTCCACTGGCTGGAACCAGTAGAGCTCCACCAGCTGCACAGAGGGATGTGCTCTGGCCCTGATCTAGCCGAACAGTGGAAGGGGGCTTGGTCCAGGCCCAACCTAGCCTCATGGAAGGGAGAGACCATGACCCAGTCCCAATGTAGGGGAGGGGCATGGCCAAGCCACAGGGGAGGGGGCATGGCCCAGAACAGGCCAGCCCTGCAGGAGGGTGGGTGGTAGCCCAGCCCCATGGAAGGAAATGGGCATGGCCCAGCCATAGCCTGGTTGGGTGGAGGGAAGGGGGCATGGCCCAGGCCCATGGGGAGTGGCAAGGGGCAGTCACCCAGCCTTGTGGAGAAAAGGCAGTGCATCCCAACCCCAAACGAGCCACATAGAGGGAAGGGGGCGTGACCTGGCTCCAATCTGGCCATACTGGGGAAGGGTTTTGGCTCAAGTCTCAGTCACCCTGCAGGGTGTGGAATTTTGGCAGCAGCAAGGGGTGGCAGTATTAACCGCCCCTACTCCCCCACCACCAAGTTTCCCAACCCATGGGAAACCCTGCAGACTAGATTCCAAGGCTGTGCAGGCCATGTTTGGCCTGCAGGCAAAAGGCTAAGTGTCCCTGCTTTGTATGAATGGAAATCTGATGTATTTTAAATAACCTTGTGTTAAAAACACACAAAGGAGGTTCCACAAGGAAAACACAAAGAATGCCTAATAACTCCCTTTGAAAGATCAAGATTCAAAAGCAACCATTCATTTTTTGTTAACATGTTTTGCTGCAACCCTCCCATTCTCAAAAGGTAATGAATATGAAGTCTGGTAGTGAACATTACTTAATCAGTAAGCAAGAACCTGATGCAAAGGAGTCTTTCCTGATCACGATGATTTTGAGTAGTTAGATTAAAAGCCATTCTTACCTGAGCTGCCGGAGATTTGAGAGATGCGGGTGTTTCTCTTTAATTAGTTCCCACAGGCGGCCTGGGGTTGCAATTACAATTTCCGGCTTCCGATTCAAGACTCTCTGCTGTTTCTGAGGAGCCATGCCACCAACCAGGATTGCAGTTTTAATGCCTAAAACACAAAGGTTGTCAAACAAAGACAACAACGGGTCACTGGAGTTACTTCCAAGTGAAATAACATTCTTTAGAAATAAAATAGACACAATTCATACTATTCTGCAATGCTGCTGAAAAGTAATTTCAGAAGTCCTGATCTAGACTAAATTTCTTTGGCTGGACTCCGTGTCTCTTCTCAGTACAGTATTGAGCATGCAGCAATACAGTCAGCATTAGAGTGAAATGTTGGTGACGGAAGATGCCAAAAAACAAAGTAATCCTTTTACAGAATTTTCTTTGAAACAGCAGGAAGGAATATTTATGTCTTCAATAGTTAATGCAGGTGTTCTTCAGCTTCTCAATTTCCCAGCAGGAAGGCAGTCCACCATAGTCCCTCAAGGACTCATTCATGCCTGTTCATTAGGAACTGGGTGAATAACCGTGCTCCTATGTCTAAAACGTCTAACCAGTAAAATGTCCACATAAAATGTCCTATGTCGAATAGGTAAAATGACCCTTTGTCCCGTCTGCAGGTGCAGAGTGAACATGCCTGAGGAAGGCCCACCCTGCTACTGGATCCTGAATTGCCCATATTACAAAGCAGTGACCTTGGCAACAAGTGAATCCAACTAGACTAAATCAACATGTCAAGATTTGTTCAAAGACCAACCATGGTTCACTTGACCCTCCTCATTCAAACCCTACCACCTGGCTCCCCACAGTGAGCCTCTATCCAACCTTTTGCATAGTCCCACTGTCTGCCTTCCTCATGGTCCTCTTGCTGGGCATAGTCCAGATACCTGAAGTAGTGGTGTGTGTGCTTGCTCCAGAGTGCCACATCGTCTCTGAGCTACTCAGCATCAGTCCTCAAAACAGCCCATCTGCAATGCTACACTGAGGCAGCTTTGCTGCTTCCTGTTTGGGAGGTCACATGGAGCAACTCCAGTGTCTCAGTAAAATGCTGGTGCCATGGGAATGTTTAGGGAGAAGGAGGGAGGGTACCCGATCCCTGGTCCCCCCTGCAGCACCACCTCCATGGCCCGTTATTTGAAGACACTGCATTAGATTAAAGAGGAAAGGCCACGCTGCAAGCTTCCTTCCCGTGACAGGTGCTGTCTGTTTCTGTGCAGCCGCTGTCAAGACTCCTTAGTCAAGGGGAAGAATTCAGTATCTGTCCTGAATACACAGCTGTCAACTCCTATGTGGTGAATTCTATACAGCAACTGCTGTGCTGGTTTTAACAGATTGGTACTTCAATAAGCCAGCACATTGTTTCAGGGCTAGAGATGAAATTAGATGCCTACAGGCATATGAGAAAGGGCAAAAGAAGATACTTTAAAAACAACAATTTATGTTGCATATTTCTAATGAATAGAGGAATTACACTAATAAATACAGATATAATAATGAATTTGGTTGGGGAAGAGGGTAGAGAATGCAGGGACAGGGAGGAGGAGAGATTATATCTATTACCTCGCTCCTGCATTTCAAAAACATCATACCTATGCTCATTCCCCATTTTAGCATCCAGTAGGAAAGGTGATGTGAGGTTTAGAACATATTAAGTGCATCACCCTGAAGCAGGGGTTAGTGCATGTAATGCAGTGGCCTATCATGCAGGTTAGGGTAGATGACCCACCAGTACTTTCTGTCCTTAAGAACCATTCTGTCATTTGCATAAGGAGATCGCTACCGTTATTAACAAAAGACAGCACTTCATTGGCTGCAGCCATTTTTTGGTGCAGGCCAGTTATTCTGGTACTGGTTTTGTGTTTCTAAACTAGGAGCTGATCAACACTCATTTGTAGAGTAGTACAAAGAAAGATTTTTTTAGAGATTTCTTAGTTGGTCTAATAAAAGGCATCATGTCTGAACCAAGAGTTTTACAGTTTCGCATTTCTTACTGAACCATGAATGCACTTAAAAACAACAGATTAAGAAGAATACTGCACTGTGAGGGGGAACCCCACCCAAGGATCTCAGCCACTTTTCACCCATTCAGGGTAACGAGTAACATCTCCATTTTAAAAAGGAAGGCAGGTGGAATGAATAGAAGGGCCAGCAACAAGGCCCTGCTCCTCTGCTTTTTCCTCTCATGCCTTACCTGTAAATTTGGCTGCTGCATCAATATGATGTTTTACTTGTACTGCTAATTCTCTTGTAGGAGCCAGAACAAGTCCTAAGAGAGGCCTGTTTTTATCTGAGTCGACAGCATGTTTGCTGTTATCAAAATCAAAGTCTATATTTTCTAGCACCTTCATGCAGCCTGTCGTGACAGATTCATTGCTATCACTATCCTCTTCACCCTGCTCAGGACTTGGGTCTTTCATTTTATTATCATTTTCCCAATTTGTTTCTTGGCCATCTTCACATACCAGGTCTGCACTGGCACTTCTGCTTGGCAAGCTTTTTGAGTTTTGCCACTCTAGCACAGCATGGATCATTGGAATTGCAAATGCCAGCGTCTTCCCACTTCCTAAAAAACACAGAAAAACAAGTGTTACAATTGTTCGCAATGAAGCAGCATCCCATCGCAAGCTGTTCCATAAGCAAAGCACAGTCAATGCATACTGTTTATTTCAATATTTTAAGTGCACATTATTGATTCTATCAGACCATTTTGATTCTGCTCCTATGAGATGCACTTGGTGACCTCAAGCAGACAATTTTTCTTTGGAATGGGTATTTTTTATAAAACCTCAACAGGGCAGGCAGAATGTGAATCTGCTAGGAAAAGTAGTTTAAAAAGCCACAATAGCAGCCAAGGTCTTTTTAAGGAACTGCATACCCTTAAGGAGAACAGCATGCCCTAATTGACAACTCTGATCAATGTTCTCCAAATAAGGGAATAGCAAATGAGGCCAAGGACAAACTAGAAGATACTAGGATTCACTTCTATTTTTTCTTTTTAGGAGTGTGCTTATGATCATATGAGAAATGTGTAATATCTTGATATATCAACACCTTGTTTTCAAAAGATGTGCTTATCTTTTTACATTAAAAACAAAACACTTGTCTTAGAACAGAGCAGCCCCTTAAAAATGGAGAATAAGAAAAATATTTCTCTACATGTAATTTCAGGGGACCACTGTAGATTTATTTGTGATGTGGGGCATTCAACTCGTAGTCCTATCTGAGATGCAATGGTCATTTAGGGGGATACTTTGACCAGTAATCACTGAATCTCTTTAGAGGACAAAAAATATCTGTCACAACAGTAGTGTCCAGTTAGACTCAATTAATATGTATCATCTAGGTAATTCTGGCTTCCTTTTCTTGCTCTGAACAGTTGGTCTCTCTCTGCAATTCATCTTCTCAGCCACACTGCTCCCATCTGAGACACTTCCCAGGAGCAGCAAAGAGAAATTTACGAACACGCTGGTGGCCCTACAAAAGCAGTTAGGGGTCTTGTAAATCTCACTTTACTACCAAGAGCCAATCCAGTCATATCTTTTCATAAAGAAACATCACTGGTTGCTACCTTTGCTGAGCTGTAACAGTACTGACCAAGTAATGTACTGCAGGCAGCACTATTCTGTGCTGCCTCCAGGAAACTGGACAAACATGGAACTGTGGAAAAAAGTGATTTTGCGACCACAAGCAATGCCAGGTTTCACTGGCAATATGCTGCCCACAAGCCATAGGACAGGAACCACAGTCCTAGAAGTAATGGAGCCCGGCGGGTTTGTATACTAAAATGTTACTGGTAGTACACAACAGTTTGGTTTCATCCCAATTCCTAAGGTAAAATTTGCCCATCTCACACACACAGGTTGTTTGGCATAATTCAGATTCATAATGATCCATGTCTTCTTTGAGAGAAATCCAGTACAAAACTGGTGTTATGTACTCATAATGTTATGTACTCTCATGCTGGCCAAGGCTCTCTGCTGTTGCCCCCCACCTGTCTCAAACCATCTGCTGTCTCTTCTCTTATGCTCAGATTCCCAGCTCTCTGGGGCAGAGACCATCTTTTTTTGTTCTGGGGTCAAAAAACACCTGCCACAATGAGGTCCTTCTCTGCGATGAGGGCTCCTAGGTGCTACAGTGACACCGATAATTAAGACCAGAGATGCTGCTGGGCTTGGCAGCACTGGGAAACCAAGGCTGGAGTACTGCCCACACCTGCATTGTGATCACTCATTCAAATCAGTGCTGTTTCATTTTATAACTACTAGGATGACCTCCAAATGGTAGTAGTAAACAAAGCACCAGATAAAGTCACATGTGCCCTTCAGAACAAACGGGGTTAGGTCAGGGTGGCCAACTCATAGCAGGCATACCACAAGTGGCACGGGCAGCCTATGTATGTAGTACTTGGCAGACTGGGGAGAGACTAAGGAACACAGGGGCAGATAGGACAAGGAGCAGAAAATAGGGCAAAAAATTGGGCAGGGGGAGGCGACTAGAGTGGTACCTCAGGGAGGGTGTAGGGCTTAACTTGTGGCATACCAGTGAAAGAGATTGGCCCTCACTTCTTTAAGTGGATCTGCAAAGCCAGCAAAGGAGCCTCAGGCTCTGATAGATCTCTGATTTTGAGATAATGGGAGCTCTGACCTAGTTTTAAAAAAGTGCATCAAATATAATTTGATTCCCCAGACAAAATTATATGGAGGATTTAAAGCTTTGTACATGTGAATATCCTAGTACGCAAAACAAATGCAGTATATTTCATCTGTAAAGTAAAATCTTCTGTATTGCAGCCATTCCCTTCCTAGTTCACTGGATGGACTGTAACTTACAGGTTCTTATCCTGTGACTACAATTATGACAATACACTGCATTTTTGAGAGAGAGAGAAAGGTGACAGTCAATGTACTTAATGTTCTAGCTGTGTGCATTTGTACCTGTTTCTGCAGCGCCCAGAATATCCATATGATCTCGAATTGCAGAAGGCAGAGCTAATGCCTGAATAGGAGTTGGAGCACTAAATCCCAGAGAACTCAAGGCCTGAAGAACTGGTTTTGGAACAAAGAGGTCTTTCCATGCAGACACATCAGCTGTTTGATCAGATGATGCAGATAAAACCTGAGTTGTCCAATTCGTAAGCTTCTTAGAAGATTTTGCTGGGGGAGGATCTTGCTGGGGTAGAGATGCTTTCTTTTTTTTCTTCTTCTTCAAAGTTTTTTCTGTGCTTAAAGCAGCTTCAGCTTTGTTTTCATTTTCCTCAGAATCAGTCAATGTGACGGTATCTTTAGGTTCATCTTCTTGATCAGTGAGTACGTCATCTCTCTCCTCAGAATGATCATTTTTATTTGTTCTAGTTCCCAAACCTTTGCCTTTCTTTCTCTTTTTTTTTTGGATGGTAGAATCCTCTTTTTCAGAGAGACTATCAGATTTTCTCTTCTTGCCTTTTTCTTTTCCAGATTTAGAGGAATTTATTAACTTATAATCTGTAAGTTCCTCAAAGCATACCAGATCTCCAAGCTGCTCATCAGCAAATAGATTTGGGTCAATTTCGACAGGTTTCCATTTTCCTACTACTTTGATACCCCTTTGTTTTGATTTAAAGGAAGCTCTAAACTTATTTCCTTTTTTTGTCTTCATCATGATCTAAAACAATTGAAAACGAAATCATTGTAAAAATCAGCAGAACAAGGTATCTAAATTCATATAACATATAGCATAAACACTGCACTGCAGATGGTGCATAATGCTATCTATGTGTAAAGCTAATGGGACACAAGTCTTAACTAGAGTTTTCTCTGAAGTTTAGTCTATGGGCTTGGTCCTGCTCCCACTGACTAGGCCCTCTTTGTTTTGAATCTGCACATTTAAGAACAATTGCGACTCCAAACGCATGAATGCAATTTGACAAACAATCTTTAATTACTCATTTATCAGCCTCTTGCTGAAAATGACACTGGAAACCTCTGCAGTAAAGAAACCCTGATGACAAACCATCGCATAGCTCTGTTGTGCGTTTTGTTAACCATGACCCTTTAGCACTTTGTGCTGAAAGGTCTTTTGGCAGGAGCATGGGAAGGAAACCTTGGATTTACAGCTTTATACTGGGCTCTTATGTGGGCTCCGTACACTCTCCAATGGCCAGTCCAATCCCCTTACTCTGCTTCATCTCCTGCTCTGCTGTCTTCTTCCTGCCCTATCTGCCGTGGTGTTATCTGTCCCCTCTCTGATCTGTCATGGCCCACACAGAGGCTGCCTATGCCAACTGTAGCACTGGAGCTCCAGGCTGGCTAATGCTAAACACACTGGCCAGCTCAACTCCCAAAATGACATATGTAACATGGTGAAAGAATAGCCAGGAGACATGCACAAATAAAAACAGGGCAGTACACATGCCCATGAAAAGCACTGATCTGCTGCATCAATCTGCAGCAATTAAGCATTAAACATGGAGGAAGGGACCAAGAAAGAAATTACTACTCAAAATGGTAACTGGGTACGTGCTCTTTACAACTCATCTCCCACTGACTGCAATGAGATGGACGAGTCTTCAGCCAGGTTGAAAGTTACTGTTAGCACTGGTATCCAAGTTGTAGGTGCATTGGTCTAAAGGAAAAAGCAATTAGGACTTGTAGTAGAGATGATATCTTTTAGGAGACCAACAAAAAAATTTGAGCTGCCACAGATGGGACCTAAGTAACCAGGCAGGGCCGACTCTAAACCAGCAGCTTTTTAAGCTCCAGTTTCCCCTCCTTACACTCATCCCCTTGGTAACTGCCAGCTCTCTGTTTTGCAGTGTTGCCAACTCTCATGATTGTTGGTGTTGTTCTTAAAGTCTACGCTTTGGGAATGTGAAAAACTCGTCTCTTTCACACACACTATACAAATACACAAATATAGATAAAAGAAAGAGCTAAATTTTTCACATTCCCAAAGCGTAAACTCATAAGAGTTGACAATACTGGTTTTGACTTGGTCTTTTCTAGTATGCAAAGCTAACAGACCCACTCTTCTGCCACAAAAAACCCAAACTAAGCCAACCCCCCCCGTACGGTCAGAGCAGGTCACAACGTAGTGAACACACTGCTTCCTGCGGCAGTCTCTGCGCTTGTTCTGCGAACCACGTTTGCAAACCTCAGAGCTGCTCTCGGGGGCACCTCGAGAGACCGCCGCGGGCCAGGCTGCTGCCCGCCCGCCCCGCTCTCCTGCCCCCGGAGCGGGACCCCGCGCCTTCCCCGGGGCAGCCGCCGGGCCAGGCCGGGCCTCCCCTCTTCCCGCGCTCACCGCTGCCTCCGCCGGCGCCTACCACGTGGCCGCAGGGCTGGGGGCTGCCATCACTGTCGTGACATCACGTCCGGCCTCGGGGTGAGAGGGACCGGAAGCTTGACGAGCAAGGGTGGGGGGTTGGGGCTGTGCTCGTGCCGTCGGTGTTGTCCAGCGCGCGGTAATGACTGTCTTTGTATCATCTTTTCAACCCGTGCACGATAGTTAATATTAAAGGTGTCGAAACTCATGGAAGAGGTGATATCGTTTATTAGATCAACTAGCTCTTTGCAAACAAACAACTGCATTTATCTGCAAGCTTTCGGGCACGCTCACCGGTTCCCATGCACAGGGCAGGAGGGAGCAGAGAGTGGCGAAGTTCTCCTAGGTAGAAATGGAAATTCATATTTCCCAGGAGAGCTGAAGGTGTGGTGGAGTCTCCTGCTTGGAAAAGTTCACCTTGTACAGGCGCGGCACAGGGAAAAGTTGAAACAGTCTTTTCACCTCAAAGCTGCCTGGTGCAAGCTGGATGTAGAGGCATGTTTGCTTCAGGTTATGTGTTTGATAGTTCACAGGAGAATGGAAAGCTCTTCTAGGCAGGAGTTTAAGTGGCGAGGTATTAGTGTTCCTGTGCTCTGGGAGACGCAAATTCGCTCGAACAATGGCAGGAGCCTCCTGTTAAAAATTCAGGTGATAAAATGTGTCCTACTTGTAAAATTATGAACTTTTCATTTAAAAAAAATAAATGATGAAGGGTGGGTGTGCCCAAAAGCTTTCAGATAAATACAATACTTTGTTTGCAAGTGTCTAGTTGGTCTGATAAAATATAACTCCCCAAGCTTCAGTTCCTTTTGCCTCTAGACCAATATGACTACAACCTGCATATCGGATAACTTTTGAGGCGATTAATTGATGCAGCATATGCAAAACCCAAGTCGCTCTCAGACTCTTAACCAACTTTCAGGTTTGGTTTGTTTTTTTGCAAAAATGCTGAGAGAGAGAGAGAAAGTGCCTGTAGCAAACCAAAATACACTTTGAAAGTTGAACAAAGTTCACACCATGTACCCACACACCTATCACCATTCCAGTTTTTGGGACTTTTTTCACTGCTTGCCTTGAAATAAATACTTCTGCTTTGATGACCCAGTTCTCACCTTGCTGGCTAGTTACAGTGAGCAATATAAAGTAAATAAGACTTATTTACATACTTATCTACATTTTTTTCAGGGTATGATGGTTTTTCAGAAGATACAATAGTTTTGAGCTTCCAATATGATAATTTCATATTTAAGTCCTGGCAATGCTGTGTGGGATCAAGGCTTGGCAGGTTCTCTCCAGTCGCAAGGGTGGAACATGGGAAGGAGCCGCTTAGAGTTACAGCAGGTGCCTGGGTGCTGTGGGACTGGAGTGACAGCACCATGCAGAGGGCCCGGAAGGGCCCTGTGGAAGGTGTCTAGTGCAACCTGCTTGCTGTCTGAGGCAGGAGCTTAAGTGCAAGGCAGAACCAGCCCTGGGGAAAGAGGTGGGAGCTTGCTCTCACCAGCTCTAGATCTATAGCCTGACCCTAAGCTTACGCAACAATAATACAAACACAAATAGGAGGGATAATGATATATATTATTAACAACCATCAACAATCAGCACTATTGGGAACAGCATCCCAATCAGCACTGTGTCCCAACACTGTTCCCAGTCAGCACTCAATACCACTATAACAACAAAGCAGAACAGCAACAATATCAACAAAGTCCAACAGTGAGGGCACTGGAGAGCAATCCTGCTCGATCTCTCTCTCAACAACATGAACAATCTTAATAACACCTATTCCTTAATGTAGTCCCTGACCTATGGCAAGAGATAGTCCTCCTTCCAATGGCGTCCCTGGGGGGGGGGTGTCCAGGAAGCACCAGGGGCCCCTCCCCTTAGGGCCTTGACTAGGTGGGGGACTACTCACCCAGCCCCTTCTATGGGTTTGGCTGCCCCAAATGTCTTTCCCTTGTGGGACCCAAGGGCCCAATGACTCACGCTCCCTCAGGTGGCGGTGGTCAGCACAGGTTGATAGGGTCTCCTCTGCTGAAGCGCCTCTCCTGCACTGCTGGGCTCCTCCCTACCCTGTGCCCCGCTCTGGGCACCGAGGGCTTAGCTCCTCTCAGCTGCTGCACTACCACTGCTGGCTCCTGGGTGCTGGGTCTTACACTGCAGCACTACCATTTCCCCGTGCCCTGGCTCAGTACTGAGGGCTCTCTTAGCATAGGCCGGGCCCTTCAGGCAACGTCCGTCCGTCCTCACGCTAGGTGGCTAACCCAAGCAGCCTCTGCTGCTCCCAAGGCTCAGGCCCATGTGCTGCCCTGTGCACCGTGGGACCTGGCTGCTTGTCAGGAGATGGGGCCTGAGCCACCTCACTGCAGCCCCAAGACCTTTGCCCTGTGCGCTGCCCTGTGCACCGTGTAGCCCGCTGGCCCTGCCAGGGATGCAGGCTTGAGCCGCCACTTGAGGCTCCCAAAGCCTGGGCTCCGTGCACCAAACCACACACCATGATGGGCCCGAGCAGTCTCATACCGCTCCTGGGGCCAGGTCTTCCCACACTGTCCCCGCACACCATCAACAGCCTGAGCAGTCTTGCACTGCTCCCAAGGCTGCTTCTCCAGTGGCGGCTTCAGGAGCCTTGGGCCTATTGCCTGCTGGGGGAGAGCTCCCCCAGCTTTCCTTGGCTCTACTCTTCTTGAGTCCCTCACTACATCTGCCAGTCATGGTGGGCACGCAGCTCCTTTTATACGCTCCAGAGCTCCGCCCCGAAGTCTTCCAGACCTGGCAGTTTACAATCTTTTATCAGGTCTGGGGGAGCTCTTCTCCCCCTCCCCTCAGGAAAGGGGCGTGACTTTATTTATCCTGCTGCCTCCTGATCGGTGGATGGGCTCTACCAATCAAAACAGGATCTCAAGCCTGGGACTCAACCCAAGCTCTGAAAGGTGAGCCTGCTACAAAAGCTAAATAAGAATCCTGAAAAAGACACGTTTTTCCAACCTAGTGCAGTCTGTATCTTTTGTGCATTCATATGCACCTAAACAATAACTTAGGGTTGGGGTGCTGAGCCCCTGGTCAGCAGGCCAAATCTGCCCACAAAACTGAGTCATCCGACTTGCAGCCGTCTACATGGGTCCTAAAATTTTGTGGTGGGGGAGTAGTGGCAGCATTAATTGCCCCTTCCCTGCTGCCACTTTTCTAGACCCACAGGCTAGACAGTGTGATCCTGTAGGCTAGATCGGGTGCATGGGGCCAGTCCAGGTATGCAGGGCTGGGGCTATGCAGGGCCCAATCCTGGGGCCCGGGGGCTGGCCAGAGTCAGCATGGAGTCAAGTGGAGGTGGTGTCAGGCCTGGTCTTGGCCCATGGGTGGGCAAGGTGGTGCGGGTCTCATCCATGTGCACAGGGACTGCCAAAGGCAGTGTGGGGCCTGATCCAGCAGCATAAGGCAAAACAGAGACCTGCAGGCCTGGAGCAGTGCAGAGCCTCATCTGGCAGCATGGGACAAAAGCAGAGGCACACTGGGCCTGATCTGCCAGCACAGGGCCAGAGTGGTGTAGGACCAAATCCTGGTGTCCAGGACCTGATTGGGCTCATGGAGCGACCCTGCACCACTCATCCATCCCAGAGAATCAAAAGGTTGAGAACACCACTGACTCAGGGGATATGATGCAAAACTTGTGTAACCCAGGCAGTACTTCAAGACATACCCCCTTTCCAATTGAAGGGATCACAGCTGGTGCATGAGAGCTGTGGGAGGTATAGGGACTCTCCTTCCCCTATACAGCAGAGCCGGATCACCAATGGGGACGTTACCATATACCTTTTAATGAGAAAAACAGTAGTAGGAACATAATATTTATAAACCAGGGGATATAGGGAACAGTACAATGTCCCGAGGGGGCAGGTTCAATAAAGGTTAGGCATTTACATTCATAGACATATTCATCCAGTTGGCAAAAGACAGGTTTAACAAAGTATAAAACACAAACAGCACAACAAACAATACTGGTTGGCAAAATATAAAATGCACAAAATACAAAACACCAAATAACAAGAGATATAGGGCATAGGTAGCTGGAGGGGTGAAAAGAGGGAAAAATACAATGACCCCCTTCCACTGTGACAAGAATTTCTCCCCTGTCACTTCACTCACCCCTACTTGACCCAGCTAGGACATGAACTTAGACATCCTACATGGTAGGTAGAAACGCTACCACACAGCCACCAGTGCTAAGACTGCTTTAAGCTGCTAGGGGTTTTGACCTTCCAGGAGCCCCTACCTCATGTCAAGCTGCCCTGCCTCTCGCTGAAGGATCTGGAAGCAGAGCTAGGAACCTCTCGGGTCACTGCTCAGCTTCTTGCTGGAGCTGGGGAACCTCTCCTGCTGGCTGCAGCCTCTCATAGGGGGATCCTGGAGCCCAGCAGGGAACCTCTCCTGCTGGCTGCACGTCACACTGCCTAGGGTCCAACTGCTGCCTGCAGGTCCCACTCCTTCAGGTTCTTCTGGGGCAACTGCTCCTGCTCCCCTGGGCCAGCTCTTTGAAACTCCCTCCTTGTGGTCCCTCGCTGGTCTCCCTGAGTCAGCTGCGCTGCCCCTTTTATCCCCCTCCAGGTGACCCAAGGGGCCAGTCAGGGGACATGGAGGGGGAGACTCGAGCTTGATTGGTGAGGAAAGGGAATCCCAAGCCCTCCAATCATCCCTTTCAAAACCCCTGAGCCAAATAACTACCAGCTAGCCCGTCACACTTGCCACACAGAGAAGAGAACAATACATTTTTATTTATATCTGTTTATCTATAGCAAAGATTTTGTTTTGTAAAAAAATGTTCAAAGTCCACCTAGTAGATGTATAAAAAAATCTTCCATGCAATCAATATGAATAAGGCATTCATAAAGGCTCTTGAAGTTGTCTTGGAAACACACGCAGCATACTTTTGGGTCAGGTCAGCAGAAGCTTTTTATTCAAATGAAGCTACGGCTGTACGGGGGACTCCAAAGTGACATGGATTTCTCAAGCACTTGGAAGGGGTTCCCCCCCAAGAGCAAAATCAGGAGACTTATATACTTTTTAACAGTTGCTTACAACTCACGTGATCATATAGTCAAGTTTGCTAGAAAAAAGCAGCTACAAACACTACCTCATTACTGCTTGGCTGTTATCAGGATGGGAACTATCGGGGAAACAAAGTGAGAACTAACACACCCTT